TCGCTTCAAAATGGAGATTTTTGAATCCTATAAACTGGTATGGATTTCTAAAAACAAGAGCTTTCCAAAAAGTATAAATACCCTGGCCTAACTTTTTCGGAAGTTTATATTTCTAGGCTATCAACAAAATGGGTATTTTCAGTCATTTCTCTGGTCAGCAAACTCACTAAAAGCGTCGGCATTGACGACCGGGTTTCTCATCTTGACGTAGTGATTGACGAGCTTCTCCGATGCCTGTGGGGTGAGACGTGGTCCGCATGTCATACGAGCATAGGTGACGAACTTCTTCAGGAATTCGATTGTTAGGAATCCATCCGTATCGTACATCTGCATCACTCCTCCATCGGCATCGGTGGTTGGCGCTTTTGGAACTCCTGCATCGTCGCGTTCCTTGGCAGCAGAGGCGTTGACGTGCACTTCGATGACGTGCTTCGCGAGGGTCTGCAAATTTCCGATTTTTGAAATCTTCGGATCAATTTTTCAGGTTTCTAGCGCAATTTTCAGCTGTTTTAGAGCACTTTTCTAGATTTGAGACCCTGATTTTAAGCAATTTTTAAGCAGAAAAATTGCTGAAACTTGGGGCCAAAAACGTTCATTTTCTGGGATTTTTGGACCCAATTTTCAGCGATTTTAGAGCAATTTCCTGGATTAGCAGGAAATTTCAGAGGAATTATTTAGGCTCAAATTTCTGAAATTGGCCTAAAATGCTCTCGAATCAATTTTCAGATAATTTAAAGCTATTTTCTAGATTTTCAGACAACTTTGTTCGGGAATTTTTATTAAATCTGACTGAATTTCCCTCTAAGAAAATGATCATTTGCTTTGAAATTTGGACCAGAAATTAGTCATTTTAGAGAATTTTGGGACCCAATTTTCAGATTTTTAGAGGAATTTTTTAGATTAGCTGGAAATTGCAGAGGGATTTCAGCGATTTTTTGAACATTATGGGCCAATTTCAGAAATATTTTAATGGAATTTTTGAGTCAAAAATGATCATTTCCTTGGATCTTTGAACCCTATTTTCAGCATTTTTTTTAAATTTCAGATCGATTTTTCATGTTTCCGGAGCAATATTCAGCATTTTAGGACCTATTTTTCACCGATTTTCAGTCGAATTTGGGAGAAAAAGTGACTGAAAATCGATGAAAACTTCTGGAAATTCTGTTTGAAATCACAAATTTCTGAGGAATGAGGCTGAAACTTCTGAAATTAGCCGAACTTTTGTGTCAGAAAATGCTAAATTTTGAAGTTTTAGGACCCAATTGTCTGATTTTTTAGAGGAATTTCCTAAATTAGCTGGAAATTTCAAGTAGAATTTTAAGGAAATTTGGGAAAAAATTGCTGAAAAATAGGGTCAAAAATGTTCATTTTCTGGGATTTTTCACCGATTTTCAGACATGTTCCAGCCAAGAGCCTCTTCTACTAACCGAATCCTTATTAACATCATGCGTATCCTTGACAATATAGATCATATCGAAACGCGACAAAATCGTCGGCATGAAATCGATATTCTCATCGCCTCTGCTCTCATCCCATCGTCCATACACCGAGTTGGCCGCCGCCAAAACTGAGCAACGAGAGTTGAGAGTTGTCGTGATTCCAGCCTTAGCAATCGAGATGGTCTGCTGTTCCATAGCCTCGTGGATAGCTACACGATCGTCTTCTCTCATCTTATCAAACTCATCAATGCAGACAACACCACCATCGGCCAGCACCATAGCTCCACCCTCCATGATAAACGATCTCGACTGTGGATCCCTGATAACGGAGGCAGTTAAACCAGCAGCCGAAGATCCCTTTCCAGAGGTGTACACTCCAATCGGCGCCACTTGCTCCACAAACTTCAGCAACTGCGATTTGGCGGTTCCAGGATCTCCCAAAAGGAGCACATTAATATCTCCTCTTCTAGTGATCCCATCTGGAAGCTTCTTTCGCGCTCCACCGAACAACAGGCAAGCGATCGATTTCTTGATATCTGCGGATCCGTAAATCGATGGGGCAATGGATTTGGCAATGATTTCGAAGGCGTCCTTTCGTTGAGCTAGCGTCTTGAACATTCGTTCCTCTTCCGGTGTGAATTGAGTGAAATTGGTTCGTCCTGGTCCAGAAGTCTCGATTTGGATGCCCAAGACTCGGAGATACGGCGTGCGGATGCCTTGGAGCGTCTTATCACCGCCCTTTCGTTGTTGGGCCAGCTTCTTGATGGAGTAGACGCCGACAATGGTGACACGATTGCCAGGGACAACCTTGTCTGTCAAATATCTCTCGGTGAAGAGTTGCAGATGACGTGGCATCTCTCCGTGTGGCACGTCTTCTGGATTCTCCTGAAGCTTCAGCGTTTGATAATCGACGCATTCGCACTTGTCGGGCAACATGATGTACGGATCGATTGGGCACTTGACCATTTGGCCTTGTTGGGGGCTGCAAAATGGGGAATTTAGGAGTGTGGATGGGCGGGTCCGGTGGGCGTGGCTTTGGGGAGGGAAGTTGCTATTTTTGGGCCAAAAAATTTGGAAAATTAGGGAGTTTTCAATGATTTTCAGGCTAATTTTCAGAAATTTCGAAAATTAGGATTTTTTATTGATTTTTAGCTTCATTTTCATGAATTTGAGTCAATTTGGGCTGAAAATAGTCGAAAATTAGCCAAAAGTTGGTGATTTTTGGGTCAAAAAATATAATTTTTTATGATTTTCAGGTCAATTTTCATGATTTTTAAATATTTTTTCATGATTTTTGAATCAATTTGGCCAGAAAATAGTCGAATATTAGCCAAAATTCGGTAGATTTTGAGTCAAAAAATTCGGAAAATAAGACTTTTTGGGCAGAAAACGGTCGAAAATGCTACTCACGCTGCACACGTCCGTGGCAGAGCGAATCCCTCCAATCCTGGCTTGATGCTGACGTCCGGGATCGTGTGCTTGCATTGACGACACTGTAGGGTGACTTTGGTCGCTTTGGAACGGACCTGGAAACATGGGGTTTCAGTGATTTTTAGGGTAGATTTTGAGGCGGAAATCAGGATTTTAGGGCTAAATAACTGGATTTTTGAGCCAAAATATGGTATTTTAAGGTCAAAATTTGGTATTTTTAAGCTGGAAAATCAGGATTTTAAGCCCAAAATTGACATTTTTAAGCCAAAAATGGTGTGTTTTGAGCTAAAAATCGGGATTTTGGAGCTGTAAAACTGGATTTTCAAACCACAAATCGGTATTGTATTTTAAGGCTGATAATCGAGATTTCAAGGCTAAAAGATAGGATTTTTGGCTGAAAACCCGATTTTTGAAGCTAAAAATTAGGAATTTTGAGCCTGAAAATCCTGATATTTCAGCCAAAAAGTCGGAATTTTGAAACTGAAAATCGGTGTTTTAAGGCAAAAATTGGGATTTTGAAGCTTAAAATTACCATGTTAGAGCTGGAAAAGCTTATTTTCAGGCTGAAAATCGAGATTTTAAGGTTAAAAATCAAGATTTCTAGGCTGAAAACCCGGATTTTAAAGCCGAAAAACAGAATTTAATGCCAAAAAATTGGAATTTTCAAACCGAAAATCTGAAATTTGATCCGAAAAATCGGTGTTTTAAGGCAAAAATTGGGATTTTGAGGCTTAAAATTACCATTTTAGAGCTGGAAAAGCTTATTTTCAGGCTGAAAATCAGGATTTTTAGGCAAAAATTCGGTATTTTTGAGCTAAAAATCGGAATTTTGAAGCCGAAAATTGGGATTTTAAGCTTCAAAAAGGATGTTTACAGCAAAAAATCGACGCTAAACCCTCAATTTTAGCTGTTTTCAGACCTTAAGGCCAAAAATGAAGATTTTAAATCTGAAAATTATTATTTTCAAGACTAAATTAGTGTCTTTTTAGCTGAAAAGCATGATTTTATAGCTAGAAAATCAGAATTGTGAGCCAAAAAGTCGGAATTTTAAAGTCGAAAATAGGTACTTTCAGGCTGAAAATCACCATTTTAGAGCTGAAAAATCCATGTATAGCATATTTTCAAGCCAAAAATCGACGCTCAACACTCAATTTTAGCTCTCTTCGGTAGATTTAATCCTATTTTAAGTCATATTTCAGCGATTTTGGACCATTTTCAGTCCATTTTTGATCGTTTCGGGTCGATTTAGGAAATTTTCAGCCAATTTCCAGCTATTCTCGACTACTTTTGGCCCATTTTCGACCAATTTCAGCCGCTTCCTAGTACCTGAGCAGCAGCGACGATGATTCCAGAGATCTTGACGACCTGCGACACCTGCGCGGATTTCACTTGACGCAACGACGTTGGATACTCATCGAGAGTGAGCATCACCTGAATATCATGCAGTTTCTCCTCTCCCTTCGGACGTGGCGTCGTAATCTCGTCGGCGACGATTTTCGCGGCCTCCTCAAGTGCTGGAAGCAATTTTCCCGGGAATTTCCGCAATTTCATCTCAATGTCTTCGTCGAAATTCTTCAAATGGTTCAGATTGATCTCCAGATGGTACTCATGACTGAAGTAGTTGCGCTTCAGTTGGTCTCTACAACAAAATCCAGGTTTTGGGGTAATTTTTGGCTCTAAACCCACCGATAAATCATTCCAAAGCCTCCGGTGGAGAAATCTCTGATAAAGTTGCGGAACTGAGTGATCAGCTGACGATACTCGGCGATCAGCTCCTTTCCAGTATCAGGGACGCCGTCGTTGGCGAAGAAACGCTCCTGATAGTAGATGCCGGGATTGTCGAGATTCGACATTGTTCGTGGCGAATTGTTAGTAGATTACTGAAAATTTTGAGCTCATTTAGACCAAGAATCAACGAAAACGGGCGAAAATGAGCAAAAATAGAGGTAGGACCCAAAAATCCCAAACTTTCAAGGTAAATCGGTGATTTTGACCTGAAAAATGGCTTCAAAACCTTCTTCTAAAACACTAAAAAGTAACTTTTGTGAGCTGATTTAGAGAAAAATGAGCCAAAAATCAGCAAAAATGAAAATTGACCTAAAAATCCTGAAATTTCTATGTAAAATATGGATTTTGACATGAACAATGGCTCCAGAACCTTCTGAAACCCGAAAAATCAGTCTGAAAATCAAAAAACACCCCAGGAAAAGTGGAAAAATGAACCTGAAAATCTGGCAAATGCGGTAAAACGGTGCGAGCGTTCGAATTCGAAATTTTGGCGCCTTCGCGCCCAAGCTTGCTGTGCAAACACCGCAACGCGCATCTGCCCACTCGGACATTTTAGTTTACGACAATTCAGTTTCAGAGCTTAGAAATTCGATTTTCAGAGTATTTTTAGACCAAGAAAATTGAAAAAAAAATTGATTTAAAAAATTTTATTTGAAAAAAAAACGAAAGAGGAATTTTAAACAGGCGGTGGTGGCTCCCTTGACGACAACGCCAACGTCTTGTTATTCCGATTCGTCGTTTCTTCCATCGTCCGTGCCAGTGATAGCTCTTCTCGTAGTGTTAGCTGTCGTCCTTCTTCTGAAAAAAAATAGTTAGGTTGTTAAATTTTTTGGAAATTTTGAAATTTTCAAAAAAAAATTTTTGATGCTCCAACCTTGGGCTCCTACGAAACCCCTTAAACGTAAACATATTTTGTTGAAACTCTTCCAGAAGATCAAACAACAATAGAGCTTCATTTTTGTAGTTGACAACTTTTTGATGCAATCGCGCTCTAGCGAGATAAGCCGCATGTTTCGGTAGAGCGCGTTTGCACCTTTAGGTGCATTATCTTTAAAGGCGCATATCTCAAAAACTACGGTAGCTAGAGAAAAGTTGTCAACTGCTAAAATAAAGCTCTATTTTTGTTTGATCTACTGGGGAAAGTTTCAGAATAATCGGTCAGGTGGAAGTTTGAAAAAAAAATTTTTTTTTAATTTCCAAATTTTTTTTTCAAATTTTCAAAAATTCAAAAAACTCACTCAACGTTCCCGACTTCTTCTTCTTGACGTCGACATTCTGAATCGAAGGTCTTTGAGTCGGGCGGCTCGTTGGGGTCTTCTTTTTGACGACTCGTTCCTGGGTCTTATCCTCTTCCAGCGTTGGCTGAGGATCTTGGGTCCGTTCCGGCCTCAGAATCGCCGACGACGCGGTTTTTTGAATTTTTCGGGATTGTCCAAGTCGGTCGGGTATGATTCGCGAGAAGAGTGTGATTCGTTCGGCACTCTCGCCACGTGTCAATTGGTCGAGTGCTGAAATTTGGGAATTTTAACTTAAAAACTGATTCATCTTGAAAACTAAAAGAGCTAGACAACAATAATCAATTGCAAACTTGTAGGAAATTTAATTTTACACATTTTTATAGTTGACAGTTTTCTAGTAGCTTTTATGGTTCGTAAGATATAGCGCGTTGGAGCAAAAAAAAGTCCCTATGAGGAAAATCAAAATATCTTAAAAACTAAAAACGCTAGACAAAAATTGTCAATTGCAAAAATGTGTAAAATTTAATGAACTACATTTTTTTAATCAACAACTTTTTGATAGCGTTTTTGGTTTTTGAGATATGCGCCTTTAAAATTGGCGGTCATTCGCGCTTCTCGGACGCAGACAGGAGAAGGAGACGCAGAGAAGCGCGCGTCAACTTTAAAAACGCATATCTCAAAAAATAAATAAGCTAGGCAAAATTTTCAACTATGAAAATGTGTGAAATTTTATAAGCTACATTTTTGTAGTTTGCTACTTTTTTCTAGCTTTCTTAGTTTTTGAGTTATGCGCCTTTAAAGTCTGTGATACCCACCATCCATTCTCTCCTTGGTCTTCTTCTTCTTGTTCTTCTGCTTCTCAGGCCTTCTCAAATGGAGAAGATCTTCAACAACAGCAGCCTCATCGAGATTTTCAATCTGAAACAAAAAGAAATCAGATGAAAAAAAGTAAAAATAAGTTTCGCCCGGCAAGGGGAGTCGAACCAGCGATCCCCCACCTTCGCAAAACGTAAAGCGCGCGCACAACCCCTGCGCCACGGAGGCGAGGCGAACAAGGAAAAGCGGAAGGCGTATAAGAGGGCGCCGCTTCTCACCTGCTCTTTAGTCTCCTTTTTGACTTCAGGAGGTAACGGAACGCCTCGTTTCACAATCAAACTACCGTAGTTCATGGTCATATCAGTTGATAGGTCAGATGGTTGTCTTAAATAGTTCACTTCTCCTTCGCTGACTACTGTAAGCGTTTTTTTATCGTCCTCTGATAGCTGAAAGTTGCGTTCCAGACACGGGATTCGGCGACTGATGTAGCTGATTTCACGGATTGATAAGCGAGTCGATGGGTAGATGGGCTCTCCGGTTAGACGCGATTTTTTGATGTCCTGAAGTAGTGAATGTTGGATTTTGGCAAATTCGCTCCATTGCAAAAATTCAAAAACCCGCCAAAACTCAAACATACAGTTCCCAACCGATGCATAATCGCATTTTTGGGCGGTCCATCCGTCGGATACAACCAAAAATAAGTGAAGAGAAAAAAGCAAAAATGTGTGCCGAACATGATAATTAATAATAGTGAATGGTCCTCCTTATCATCGTTATCAGTTATGATATCGTCGTCTGGAGTTGATGATAATATTGACCATGTTGATGACATTCTTAGTTTAATTTATGAAACTTTTTAACGAAAAACGGATATAGAAAATGATTCAATTAGTGACGTTTCAGCGATTCTGAAAAAATGATAAATGGAGCACGTGAGACTTGTCAACTTTGATTCAATTTATCTGAGCTCCTGTAAGAGGTATCAAAAAACGGTCAACTGATAAAATAATTGTGATAATATGATAAACATTTCGTTAATTAACCGCTTTTTGATACCTTTTTCAGGAACAGAGATAAATAGCATAAAAGAGAGCGCGCTCCACGAATGACTTGGAGGTAGCGCCCAGCATGGCGCTTACTGTGACCCAATTTATCTCGGTCCCTGTAAAAGATATCAAAAAGTGGTCAACTAATAAAATAATTGTGATAATATGCTTGACGTTTTGTTAGTTGACTAATTTTCAATATCTTCTACAGGAACTGAGATAACATGGCTCAACGTTGAGCCGACTCTCCAGGAGGAGGGCGCCAGGAGGGCGCAGAGAAGCTAGAGCGGTTGCGGTGGAGCCTCACACTTTAAAAAAATGTATCTCGGTTACTGTAGAAGATATCAAAAAGAGGTCAACTAAAAAAATGTTCAGCATAAAATGATAAACATTTTGTTAGTTGACCACATTTTGATATCTCTTACAGGAACCGAGAATAATGGGCCACAAACGGACCTTCCCGTAGATTCCTTCAGGGTGAACATTTTTGCACAAACCAACATGAACATGATCAAAAAAATTGAGAGCTACAAAATGAACCTACTTGGAGTACTGTAGCTTGTCTATAAACAAAGTAACGGCTTAAAAACCTCCCGAGCTACGCGGTGTTTCTTTTTTGGCGTTCTGCAACTTTGTTTATAGACGAGATACAGTAATCCAAATAAAATCAAGTTATAGATCTTGAGTTGTACTATCATATCCATGTCAGATGGTATGAAAATATTGATTGCGAATGAAACTATGATAGGGTTCGTTTTTGATCTGTTCTTGGTCCGTTCTTGGTCTGTTTTAGTCCATTTTGACCCGTTTTTTAACCGTTTCTCCGACACGTAGCTTCTACAAACATTGAAAATGGAGGGGTCCGTTTTTGGTTCGTTTTCCGTGTTTAAATTCAAATTCAAATTTTTCAGAGATGGCAGGAGAAAGTGGGTTTTCTGAAGCCTAGAGGAGAGAAGCTGCAAGATGAACCAAAATCGAAGCGTCCATTGCTCACTTGAAGTTGTTAGATATCCTGAATTTGACGTCATCTAATGTACAAAATCTTTGAATAATTTATTTTTAATAGTTTTTATGTTTTTTAGTCTGAAATAAAAAAAAAAAGTTTTTTTGATTTTTTTGAATTTTGAATTTTTGAAACTTCTTCGAAAATTCCGAAAAAATTTGAAGCTCAAATTCGAGCTCAATTATCTCAGTTCCTATGATAGATATCAAAAATTTGTCAACAAATAAATTGTTGCTGATATTATGATAAACATTTTAGCAGTTAACAAAATTTAGCTCTTATAGGAACCGAGATAATTGAGCTCAAAGTGCAGGCATAAAAAATTCCTCGAAGAAACAAAGTGTGCCAACTTTAAAGGCACATACCTCGAAAATTATAGAAGCTACCTTAAAATTGGTAACAATTAAAATGCGTAAAATTCCATAATAAACATTTTTCCAGTTGATCACATTTTGATATCTCTCAAAGGGACTAAGATAATTGAGCTCGAAGTAATACAGTACTGGCCAAAAAGGTATTCGCAAATAGTTTTTCGAGCATAACTTTTCTGAAACTTCCCGGATCAATCTGATATTTTAAGACAAAGTTTAAAACGGTAAAAGAAACTGATTCAACAACAAGAATAGTCAAAATTTCAAAAAATTGAAAAAAAATCGAAAAATTCATGAAAATTGCAAAAACCCGGTAAATGGAACTTTGACTTCTGAGATCTAGGATAGACCGGTAAACGAAAAATAACAATAGAAAATGAATAAAATAGCTTTAGTACTTCGTTGGGAAGCCTTTGGCGTCGATTACCGCCTGACATCTTCTTGGCATCGAGTCGAGAAAAGTGTCGATGACAGACATCGGGATGGCCTGCCAGACATCTTGGAGTTGGTCGAACTTCTGGTTGGCATTCGAGGCACGGATCCCTCTAAGCTGTCTCTCGACATGCTCCCAGAGGTGTTCGATCGGATTCAAGTCCGGAGATTGACTTGGCCAGTACAGAAGATCCACGTGGCGGCGTCGGAACCACTCCTTGATGGCTTTCGAGGTGTGCTTCGGGTCGTTATCCTGTTGGAAAACGAACGCCCGGCCCACAGTAGACCGTGCCCAGGGTCTCATTGTGTTCTCCAAGATGTCTTCATACACAAAGCGATCCATGATGCCCGTAATTCTTCTCAGCGGGCCGATTGAAGTCCCAGAGAAGCAGCCCCAGACCATCACCGATCCACCTCCATGCTTGACGGTTTGGAGCTGGTAGCTGGGATCGAACCGACATCCAACCGGACGGCGAATCCACTTGATACCGTCAGTACCGAACAGATTGAACTTGGATTCGTCGCTGAACACGTGATTAGCCCAATCCTGACGTCCCCAGTGGAGATGAGCTCTGGCCCATGCTACGCGGGCGATTCTGTTCTTCTTGCTGATCGATGGTTTCTTAGCTGGCCGTCGTCCATGGAGTCCAGCATCTTGAAGACGTCTTCTGACGGTTCTCAGGGATGGTGTGACTTCATTTGGAGTCTTCACGACCATCTGAATGTCCGTAGAACTCCTCTGGGGATCCTCTCTTGAAGCTCGGACGATGTTCCGATCCATGTTCTTCGACGTGATACGCGGTCTTCCAGGCGATTTTCGCTCCACCAAGGCTCCCTAAACATTTTTTTCCATAACTATACTATTTTCGAATATTACCTCATCCCGAAACTGCTTCAAGATCTTCTCGATGGCACGTTTAGTAACATTGAACTTCTGCGCCAAGAGGTCCTTGGAACATCCACTTCTGAAGCCGATGACGATGGCTTTACGGATGTCCTGAGAGATGTTTTTTTTTTCTGAGGGGTCTGGCCATGTCTGTAAACAGTTTTAAATACATAGGAGCCAAAACCAACATTCTTAGAAACCATAATATCCAAAAATATAAAAATATGAAAAAAGTGAAAAAACGAAAAAATTGAAAAAATTGAAAAAAACAAAAAATTTCTGAAAATGATGCAATTTCCTTGTACGCAATTTGTCGTCACCGTGTACGACATGCACAGTAAAATTTTCAGATCGATCCCTTAAGTTTCAGCAAAGTTACTCTCAAAAAACCGTTTGCGAATACCTTTTTGGCCAGTACTGTAAGTCATAATTGTGCTCAAATAAAGGCTGTCCCGGCATTTAGGAACCTTCTTATTGCCTCAATTGCGTGCCTACAGTATGCATGATGACGTCATCAGGCTCTTCTGGCAATGCCTATGGTCCGTGTCAGGTCAACCCTGCCTTTTCGTATACTAGCCAACGTTCCCCCCTCTGCCAACACACAAAGACACCAAGAGAGAGTGTAGAGAGAAGAGAGGCGCAGACATTCTGTGTGATGTGTCTCTTGTCTCTATGTTTATCGATTCTTTCGCTTCGTCCGCAATTTTGGCAGTTCTCCTTCATATGAACACTTTCTTATAGATTTTTAGATGTTTATTGAGCCTAAATTTGCCAATTTTCTAGGGTAATCATGGCGCCGAACCGCCCATCCGCACATGAATATCCATCGGATATTGTAGATCTTCGAGACGATTTCGCGAGTCAAAAAACGCTGACAATGACTCTGAACGAGGAGAATAAGGTCTTCAGATATTGGATCTATTTGAAGTGTATCAAGTGGTGAGTTTTTTTTTGCCAAATTTTATCTCGGTCCCTTTAAGACCAATGACGGACCCGCGGGCCGGGCCGGGCCTCCGAAATTTGGAAAAAGGCCTGGCCCGTTACAAGTTTGGCGCAGGCTCATAAGTATGTATCTCAAAAATAAAGATTTATTTTCAGGCAAATCGAGCTCCGTTCCAATTCGTTCGAAATGTTCGCCGCTTACTTCAAAGCCCCTGCAACCTGGTCAGCAGAAGTCGAATTCGAGATCCGCACCCATATCACAAATTCCATCCGAAGCGAAAAATTCGTGGGCCGATTCACCGGCGCCAATCATGTCCATTTCCGACCCCTGAAGCTTCATGAGCATATGGCACGAGAGAAATTGACAGAGATCAAAGTGGAAATCATCATGAACCTGACCCAAACTCAAAATTTCGGAATGATCTACAACTATTTCGATATGATGCCAGTTGAGGAGGATGGACTACTGAAGGTTGAGGATCAGCTGATTCGAGTCAACAAGAGATATCTGGGAATGATGTCACCGTTCTTCAAAGCACTGTTCTATTCGGAATTCAATCAAGAGGATCAGATTCACGAGTTGAATGAGAAGTTCCGAGAGATGATTTGTTTCCTTCGGTGCTTGTATCCACATCGGCAACCGGTTACTAGTGAGTTTAAAGCTTTTGAACGTTAAGATATTAACATGAAAAAATGAGCAAAATCTAGATTCTGAAAAGAGCTACAAAATGATATAAAAGTTGATAGCGTTTGAATATTTTTAGTTTAGATTCTAACGTTTAAAAGAGCCAGGGCGGGTACTTCTCCAACTTTGACCCAATATATCTCAGTTCCTATAAAAGATATCAAAAATTAGTAAACTATTAAAATGTTTAACATTTTATGACAAATTGTTTATCAGTTAACCACTTTTTGATATCTCTTATAGGAACCGAGATATGTGCTTTTAAAGATAGCGCACGCAACAAAAGGGGAGAGGCACTTGGGCGCGCCAAATTTGAAGGCGCATACCTCAAAAAAAAACCAAGTTAGCTACAAAGAAGTTGTTAACTACAAAAATGTGAAACATAAAATTTTGCGCATTTTACTAGTTTTGACTTTTTGATAACTTTGTTTGTTAACGAGATAGTAGAGCTGAAAGAGGAGGGCGCAGAGAAGCTAGAGCGGCGGGCTCTCATGGTTGTTGGTTGTCAACTTTGAGCCGATTTATTTCACTTCTATAAGAGATATTAAATATTTATGAACTGATAAAATGTTAAGCACGTTAAAACAAATATTTTATTAATTTTTTGACTACTTTTTGATATCTACTACAGGGACTAAGATAAATTGGGTCAAAGTGCAAGTACCTATGTGATACCCACCCAATACCCCTGCAAATCAAAAGTTATGGAATTTTATATATTTTCAAAGATATTTTAACAAGCTACACGATGATTATAACTATATGTCAATTTTATACCAACTAACCTCTTAAATGCTAAAAACTCGGTTTTTCCAGAAAAATCGCTCGACTACCTTCTCCAGCTGGCCGATCGCTATCAGTGTCAACCGATCGTGGATGCTTGTGAGATGTTCATGTGTGCTCACTACCATGAATACCAGAAGAAAACGGAAAAATGCTTCTCCTATGTGGAAAAGTATAAGATGCAGAGACTTTTGGTGAGGAGACGGAATTTTTGGGATTTCAAACTTTTAAAAAACTTTTTGAACAATATAAAATTTTAAGAGTAGACAAAACAAAACTAGAGCTTCATTTTTGTACTTGACAAGTTTTGGTACAAGCGCGCTCCAGCGAGATATGCCACGTGGAAGTCGGCGGGTGATCCCCCCCCCCCCCTAGGTGGCGCCGCAAGNAGGTCACTTCCACGTGGCATATCTCGCTAGAGCGCGTTTGTATCAAAAAGTTGTCAACAACAAAAATGAAGCTCTAATTTTGTTTAGTCTACTCCTAAACTTACAGAAAAATTGGAAAAGTTTGAGGACATTTTTTGAGCGGGAAAAAAACGTCATTGTAGAGCCAAAATCAGTTTTTTGTGCAATCTTTCAAGGAATTTCTCTAGGTTCCCTACGAACCGAATTGAATGGCTTTTTGAACAAATTTTTTAGCCAATGTTTTCCAGAGAATTGTCGTCGAGTACGTTGCTGTGACCCAAACCACAACCCAATTCCGTGCTCAACCCTACTGGAGGGATTTGTCCGAGAAGACGCAGCTCGCCGTTCTGGAATTCATGGCCAAGAATCAGTCGAGAAGAACAAAAGAGCTAGAAAGACGTCGTGGAGTGAATCAGCATCGTGCGAACATTGATCCGATCGATGATCAGGGACCGCCAAATGGGCGGTTGCTTGGAATCGCCGATCCGGTCCGAAATGCCGATCCTCGGCCACCAAACCAACATGTCAACAATCATAGATACATGCCTGGACATTGGGGTCTTCGCGTTATCGATTTTGACTAGAAAGGTTGTGCTAGCAAGTGCGCTCTATTGATAATTTTCACTATTTTTTGATAGCTTCTCTAGTTTGGAGTTATGCGCCTTTAAAGTTGGCGTGCCCAAGTGCCCCTACCTCTTTGCTGCGCTCGCTATCTTTAAAAGCGCATATCTCCAAAACTAAGAAATTTATCAACAAGCTATAAATTACAAAAATGTAGCTTATAACATTTTACACTTTTTGCAGTTTGTATTTTTTAAATACCTTCTCTACTTTTTGAGTTATGCGCCTTCAAAGCTTGGTATGTGCCGTTTTAGCAATAGAGCGTACTTGCTGCCTTTTTTTCTTATTGTGTACCTTGAAATTTTTTTAAAAGAAAAAAAAACCAAAAAAAACCCTAATGATTCTTTGTTGTATTCCATGACCACATAATCTCTTATGTTTGAATTTTTCGAAAAAAAATCCCTTTTCCATACTTTAAAAATCTCCATTTCCTTTTTTTTTGCGAAATTTTGCCTCGAATGATTCCATTTTTCCTTGTACCATATTATTAATTTCTCTGTATATCAGTTACTACTTTCATTATTTTTTTATGTTAAAGGTGGTGTACGGTGAAATTTTTTATTGCATCAAAATGTGCAGAAATGCATGTAGATTGGCATAAAAATAAAGAAAAAATTCAAAAAAATTCCTTCATCGAGTAAAAGCGCGCGAATTCAAACTTTTAAATTTTTTTTGCTCGTTTTCACTGTTTTTTTC